GCGGGACTTCTTGCCAGACAGTGTTTGCAATGGCCAGCTATGTGATTTTTACCAGTTGAACTCCAATGGTTCCCCAATGCACACTCACACCAACCTACTTTCGCATTTTCCTAAGTTAGGTGAGCTGATGTGACCCTCTGAGGAGAGAGTGGGTAGTTCAAGATTTTCCTCTTTGACCGTGCTTTTGGCCACCCTCCCATCCCCACTACCCTCCACCTCTCTTGATTCCAACCCCCAGCTTTAATGCAAACCCTTAACTGTCCAGCGCCTTGGGATGTCCTTCCGATGTGAAAAGCTCTATATAAATGAAATGTTGTTGTTGCATTTGAATCCAGGCACAGGGAAATGTCCATGTGTATTTGGAACTGTCTAGTTTGGACGCTCTTAAACATGGTGGAAAGCTTTCTGACCAAAAAATAATTAATATGTAATGTTAGATCGCCAGTTATTCAATTATGGGGAGTATCTCAACTGAGCCTGATCAGGTTCGAAGTGATGTGTGCATGCGCGCCCACACACACACTGTGTCGTGATCAGGCTAGGGACTGTTCCCCCTCCCCCTAGCCCAGTAGCACCCAGCCCAATTGTTGCATTCCTTACTCTTTGTCTACAATGAATTGACTTGGCTTGACTTAGACCAGCGGGTAATCAGGACTCAGAAAGGCTTCCACAGCTGTCACAAACCTTTCTGCTTGGGTGTTTCATACTGATGTGAAGTATGGCAATCCACTCCATTAATGTCCAACATCAATGTAGTTCACATTGCTTGGTAAAACAGCGATCCACTCCAAATCTTGTGTGTGATTTTATGAGCCTGTGACTAGCGCCTAGCAGTACTACAATAATCATTCACCAGGAATAAAATGGATTCCTTCCTATGAACAATATAACTTTTAAAGAAGAATACAGCAGTAATATCTCAGAGCACCTTTATCCCCCTCTTCTCTGCCTCTCCTCCCAATTTATGCTTGTCTAAGCCCTCTCTCTCTCGAGAACCCCTTGCATGAATCATCTGATGTGTTGTCCTCTATGTAACCCACTCTGAGCCTTGAAATATTCTACGACCATCTCTCAGAACACTGCAGAATGAGAATAGTGATAAAACTGGTCTTCTTTAATCCATATTAAATGAGATTTTTAAATTCAGAAACTGCTAGCTGACAGGAGCAGCAATGGACAAGAAATAGCTTTGAGATTACATGCAGAGTTATTTTATTTGAAACATGTATTTCTTTTTCATTTAAATGAATGTGAATAAGACCCTTACTAGATGCAGGATCCTTGTGGCATGTCAAGGTCATAAGCACATCAAAGGCAGAATTGATGACAACACTATCGGCACTTACACAATGCAATTTTAATTTATATATAGTGTGTTTCACTAGGGAGGATGTCTTGAAGTGCTTGACAATTCTGGTTGGGAATCCAAGCTGTGGGTGGGAGTTAAGGGGAATGTGAGGAGAAAGATGACTGAAAGTTTGGCCAAAGAGATGATTTGAAATGTATCTTGAAAGAGGGGAGGAAGGAAGCGAGTTGGAGAAACTGCAGGATGGAGTTCCTGAGAGCGAGGGCAGAATGGCCTGCTCATCAATGGTGTGGTGGGGAGGGCAGGGTACCTGATGCAGGCTGGCATTCGCAGAGAAAAAGGAGTGTCTGGGCCAGTGTGGTTGGAGGAGGTTTCAGGGGTAGGTTGGGAGACAGTGAAGGGATTTGAACGAGAAATAAGCACAATTGGAAGATCATTTATAGCGAAGAGTGCGAGCCATTCCATTTCACCCAAATCCGTCCAAGGATACACACTGTACTGTTTCCAGGCATCCTGCCAATCCAGTATGGTACAATAGCAATCCCAATTGTGACATTAGGATATAAGTGACAAGCAGCCCTAAGACTTAATTATCTAGTTGGAAAATGAACAGTCTACCACTTGTGTTCCTGACTCCTCGTGCTGACATTTTGAAGGAACCTTGAATTCCCTTGTGTGAAGAAAGCATGCAGATGGCATGGAAAGTATCAAGGCTATTAGATTTGCCTTTTAATCATATCCTGCTGTTCCACAAATAAGTCTGTTCCACAGTGGTATAGTAGATCTTTATTCAAGGATGTTCAGAGAATAAACATAATAGATTTTTATACAGCCTATAGTATAAGTGATTATGGTAATCAGGGCTTTTAAACAGTAAAATGCCCTTAGTTGAATTGAAACCAATAATTTCTAAGTGAAGAGCGATTTTGTAGTGTCTTTACTGTTTTATCTATTGCAGTCCTTTTAATTTGATATGAAATTTGTGAGTTATGTTTATGTTTGATTTACATAAAGCCTGGATGAGAATGCTGAAGCAGCTTTTCTCCAGCCAGCAGGCACTGACAAGCTTTCAATGCAAAAAGTCAAGAGATATGACCCTGGATTGAAGCACTAAAACTTCCGTTCAGTTTAATTACTACATTTAGCATGCAACAGAACTAATAGGAAGTTACAGATTTTTTATAGTTGAATAAAATGATAGTAATGTAACCATGGATAAAAATAAAAAATGACTCATTTCTATTTATGTAGCCTATTGCCTTCCCCAATCATGTTCTGAAACTTGCTTGTGACCTTATCATATTTGATGGAATTATTTAATGTGACAATGAGATTGAAAATGCACGATTAGCAAACTGGAAGTTGCAATCTAATACCTTAAAGCGCTCCAGGACGCGACCCTGTGCGAAGGGCGCTATATAAATGCAAGTTGTTGTAGTTGTCATTGTTAAATGAAATGCCTTAAAAAAAATCCTTGCAGTTGTTACAACATCTCTCATGTCGAGAGGACGTCTTGAAGCACTTCATAGAATTTACTGAAACATATAGTGACTGTGTGTTTTGTAGAATGAATGAGCTCAGCAACTTCAAGTTCATGACTGAAAATTGTGCACTTTGCAAGCCAATTCAATTCTTACATTTTCTTGTGGCCTTATTAAACACTAGCTGTATTGCAACCAAAAGATCCAATATGGAATGTAGATTTCAGTGATGATGGGCGCCATCTGATTCGTAGACTCTGGATCATAGTAGAGCGCAGCTAAATGGAGTGACCTCTGCTGCTGGGTGTCATTTTGCCATGTACTTGCATGCCTTTCTGTGTCCAAGTCCAGCCAAATTGTTGTTTGAGGGGGTAACTCATTTTGCTGTGCTCTTGCAGTTCTTTCAACATTCAAGTCCAGCCATTCTGTTCTTTGAGCAGGCAATTTATTTTGCCGTGCTCTTGCATGCCTTTCTGCTTTGAAGTCCAGCTGAACTGTTCTTTCCGCAGGCAACTCATTTTGCCATGTTCTTGCATCTCTTTCTGCGTTGAAGTCCAACTGTGCTGTTCTTTGTTCTTCAGTTTCATTTAATCGGCCTTCTCTCTTTCGTCTGCCATTTTTATTTATCCTTGAAAGGCTTCATCTTCATTTCTTAGGCATCTTTATCCCTTAAGATTTAGAAAATGTGCTATTGCGAGGACTCCTGTTGGGAGGACTCCTGTTGGGACGACTCATTGGGAAGACGCAGTGGGAGGATTCCTGGTTCGAAGGACTCTTGCAGGGAGGGCTCCTTGTTGGGAGGGCACCTGTTGGTCGTACTCCTGTGGGAGGACTCCTTGTTGGAGTCCATACATGTGTGATGAGCTTGCTTAGATCATAGCTCATCAACAATAGGAGATCCCTGAAAAATATGCCCATGGCACTCACTCATTCCAGACCTTTCCGATGAGGTATAAATCATGTTTGCATGTCAATCGGTTATTGCGTTATTGGCGTACAGATACACAGACAGACATTTTGTCTTTATTATTATAGAAGATAGATAGATGTATCTCTCTAAAAGGATGAGTGATTTCTTCTGTCGCTACTTTGTTGCAGAATACCATGCATACCTCATATTTTTGGGCTTAATTAAATAATTTTTTAATATAACTCATCAACGATAGGAGATCCCCCAACAAATATGCCCATGAAAATTCCCTAATGCAAGACCTTTCAAATGAGGTATAAATCATGTTTCTACGTCTAATTGGTTGCTGGGCAGCCAGACAAACATTTTGTCTTTAGAAGTATAGATAGTATAGAAGAATAGTATTGGTTTAAAGAGACAATGATGAGGGTTGACAATGCAAACTACAACCTATAATTAGCACTGCTATTTCTAGGTTACACCTGGAAATTTGCTACCAAATTCTGTCACAAATCTGCCAGAGGTCTGTCTTATACCCAACATTTTGTTTTGTTGTGCTCTTTCTCGGCTGAGAAATGATAATAATGATCCTTACTGCCTTTCCCGGCAGCCAGTTTACACTTGGCAATGTCCCACAAATGGCCATGAAGGGTTTGATCAGTTTTTGGGGGATTGTTTCTGAAATAGTGCCGTGAGCAAAAATGTTAGCTATGATGGCAAATGTCTTGTGAATGCCACACACTCATAGTTTCGAGGAGCTTTTACACTCAGCATTTGACGAAGAGCTGCTTCAGAAGTTAACATAAAGGGTTCCATAGCATCTGTAATGCACTTCCTTTGGTAGATAATGAGTGGGATGACATCCAGCTACTAGGTTTGATGATGGTTCCAATGGCCTTGTTACATGTTTTATTCTTAAGAGCTTGCAGCAATTCTGACTTGTATCAGAATTCCTTTTGATGTACACTTTGTGGAGTATTATTCTGTTTGCTATTATAAGTGAACCAGTAGAATTGAGCAGACTTGTTAATAATTGAGATAAAAGAGGTCAGAAAAATCATAAAACCAGAGATTTACGGCACTTAAGAAGGCCATTCGGCCCATTGTGTCTGTGCCAGCTCTATCCCACTTACCTGCCCCTTCCCCATACCTCTGTAGCTGATTTTTAAATTTTTAAGGTATCTGTCTAGTTTTCTCTTGAAGATCAATGTGGATTTTGCATCAACTACCACTCCTGGCAGGGCAGTCCATATCCTAATTAATCTGGGCATGAAAAAAATCTCCTAACCTCCCCAGTTGCACATTTACTGTAGCTCAGTGATTAGAGCACTCGTCTAATGAGCGGGAGACCTGGGTTCAATTCCCAGCAGGCGAAACCTTGGGCAAGTTTCCTTACTCCACACGCCTGGCAATAATCCCTCAAGAAAAAAAACAATAATAAATTGGTCACTTCAATCCACGACTGTTTGTGGGACACTACTGTGCACAATTGGCTGCCGCATTTCGCCCACAAATATAAAGTCAATTCACTTTACAGTATATTCTATGAAGCGCTTTGAGACGTCTAGAAAATGTGAAAAGCTCTATATCAAACGCAAGGATTATTATTATTACTATCTGTCTTAAATTGATGCCTTCTAGTTACTGACTCACCGGCCAGTGGAAATAATTTCTCCCTATTGACTGTATCAAAACCCCTCATAATTTAAAAACCTCTAACAGTTCACCACTTAACCTTCTTTGTTCCAGGGGGAAAAAAAAGTCCCAGTTCCCAGAAGAGTGACCTCTTCTGCCAACACCAAAAAGTGGTTAGTCAGCCTATGTTAATAAGGTAATCAGCTGATTGTGGTCTTGTTAAAGGCCATTCGTAAGGAAGACAAGTACACATGATAGGTGAGAAGAGGAATCTAATCATGGATTATTTGTCTGATCTTAGGTTACAGCTCACAATGAATCAGAAAATGTTAAAAACCAAGGTTGTCAAATGTAAGTCATTAGGTGCAGTAAACGCTTTGAGTTCCTTTCTATTTCTTTGCAGAAAGGCTTGACTCTGCCACTCTTTTTCTTCGAACAAATAGCTACACCTGGTTTCAAACTGTTTCCCATAACTAATGCCTTTTGGATAAGGGCCATTGAATTAAGGGAATACTCAAGGTTCGAAAAGCTTGCTACAACCAGTAAAATTAACAGTGTCCTTGGAGTTTACAAGAATGGACTAAGCTTATTGGAAATAACTGAGGAGAAATGATCTATGATTAGACAAGCTAGGGCTCTTTAGTCTCAAAAAGGGATGTTTTAGAGAGGATCTTAGAGGGATACAAGATATTAATTGAGATTGAGAAGGTAGACTCAGAACAATACTATTGGATGTACCAGGACCAGAGAACAAGACGACATAGGTTTAGGGTGGCTAGGAACAATTTCAGGACAGATACCAGGAAGAATTTTTTTTACATGGAGGGTTGTATGCATTAAATACATGATATCATAGTGGATCCTCCACAATTAGAGCATACCAGCAGAATGATTGGAGCATGTTGTCAGAGTACCCAAATCAGACACATGCCAGACTAGAGTTGTCTTTGAGGATAATTTGGGCGTCCCTGAAACAGCATGTTCACACTAAAAAGGTTTTGTATTGGGTAGAGGTTATACTGTACTTATCGGTGGTTTAACTTTGCATTTTATTCCATATTTCCTGCTGGATCCTCGGTATCACTCTCACCACACTCATCCCTTTTGCAACCTTCTTGTCTTACCAAGACGTATCTCTTCATCCACATTCTATTTCATCCTACATCCCCTATTTCGTGTTCGGTGTTCATCCCCTGAACTGTAAAGCACTCCGAGACAAAGGTCTATGTAAAGGGTGCAATATAAATGCAAGCTATTATTCTTCTGAACTTTGCAGTGAGTAGAAATTTGTTGGGGCAGGGAGAGAGGCTGCCTTGTGCCAAACAGCAGATTGCTCTGTTTTGATACTACTTTCACCAGCATAAACTTTACCAACTTGCTCTTGTGCCTGCTGGTTTCAGACAACTTTAAATAAAATTACATTTATTGTGTCGGGGTAAAATTGCGAGAATTGCTGACACCCACTGAGCTAGCAATAATGACTTCCTAATTCACAGATCACACTGTGAGAAGCATCGTCACTCCAGCACAGTCACTTTCTATTCGGGGCAGACACTGGGAACCTGTATTTTACACACACGAAGCACATTCATCCCATTTGAAAGTTCTACAACACTTTGATTGAAAGAAACAAATCTAAAAAGATTCTATGTCTTCTATTTTGCCAAGTAGCAGAGGGTGACTTAATCTTGTGGAACCCTAACTCAATAACTCACAGCCGGAAGCTGCGGTTGAAGCAAAAAAAAGCATCAATGTATTAAAAAGAAAACTTGATGCAGACATTAACGCAGAAAGGAATATAAGAGAAGAGAATAGGAGAGGTGGGGCCTTATATGAAGCATACAACAACAACAACAACAACAACAAGATTTCATTTATAGAGCGCCTTTCACGTCGGGAGGACGTCCCATAGCGCTGGACAGTTGGGTCAGGACCCGAGCAGGGGGGAAATGGTCAGGGTGAGGGGAGGGAGGGGAGGGAGCGAGGAGGTGGGGAAATGGTTAGGGTGAGGGGAGGGAAGGGAGGGAGCGAGGAGGGGGGAAATGGTCAGGGTGAGGGGAGGGAAGGGAGGGGGCGAGGAGGGGGTAGAGAGTCGAGAGGGGAGCTGAAGGCACGGTTAAAGAGAAAGAGAAAGGTCTTGAGACCGGCCTTGAAGGAGGAAAGGGAGGAGGCGGCGAAGGCACTGGGGGATGGAGTTCCAGAGCCTGGGGGCTGAGAGGCTGAAGGCCCGGCCACCGATGGTAGGGCGGTTGGGGCGGGGGATGTGGAGCAGACCGGAGCCGGAGGAACGGAGGGTACGGGAGGTAAGTAGGGGGATAATAGGTCAGAGAGGTAGGAGGGAGCAAGGCCGTGAATGGCCTTGTAGGTGAGGATGAGGATCTTGAATTCGATCCTCTGGGGGATGGGGAGCCAGTGGAGGCGAGCGAGGGTGGGAGTGATGTGGTCCCGAAGCCTGGTGCGGGACAGTACACGAGCTGCAGAGTTCTGAATGACCTGCAGCTTGTGGAGGGAGGTGGCGGGAAGGCCGGCGAGGAGAGAGTTCCCATAGTCCAGCCTTGAGGTGATAAAGGCGTGGACCAGAGTTTCAGCAGCGTGAGGGGTGAGTAGTGCCGTAGTCTGGCGATGTTCCGGAGGTGATGGAAGGCGGTGCCCGTTGTGTCGCGGATGTGGGGAAGAAAGGACAACTCAGGGTCGAACAGAACAGTATAACAATATAATCACCGGCATATGCTGAATAGCTTGATTCCATTGTGTATCATTATGTTTAGTTCTAGGTATTCTTTATTGTTATTTGTGGGATATTGGTGTGCATTAATTGGCTGCCATGTTTGTTTACAAAATATGCAGCCATTATATATTACAATAAAATTCGTGTGAAATGCTTTGAGATGTTTCCATGACGTGATAACATGTTATATCAAATTATATAAAATTATTATTTTAGTTATTTTATAATGTCCATCTAAAGAAATAGAACAAGAAGAGGGGAATTTGCTTGCGTCTCACTCAAAGGATATAATATCATCCTGTAAGAAAAATGGTTTTATATTCCCATCAATAGTCTAATGCAGAGACCTGCATGTAGGGAATAGATGGCTATAGACGATCTATTCCTGTTTCTGTACTGTATTATTATTTGTAAAGATTAATTCAATACTGGATAATAATCAAAACTTAAGAACATGCATCGCTGGGATTTTCAGTTCATTTAGATGCTGAATGATGAAGACCCCAACCAACTTCGCGCATACCTCTCCTCCCACTCTCTCTTCGAACCTCTCCAGTCCGGTTTCCGCCCTGCCCACAGTACACAGACTGCACTTGTGAAAGTCACAAACAACATCCTCTCTATCTGTGACCAGGGCTCCCTCTGCCTCTTTGTCCTCCTGGACCTCTCCACCGCATTCGACACAGTCGATCACGCCATCCTCCTCCACCGCCTTTCCTCTGTCAATCACCTCAGTGGGACCGCATTCGCCTGGTTCGAGTTCTACCTCACAAACCTGCGAGGTACCCCAAGGATCCATCCTTGGCCCCCTCCTCTTTCTGATCTACATGCTCCCTCTTGGGGATGTCATCCGCAGACACTTACACATGTATGTGGACGACACCCATCTCTATTTTTCCACCTCTCTTTGCGACCCCCAGTCCCCTGATGTTCTGTCAGCCTGCCTGTCAGACCTTAGGAGCTGGATTAGTGTAAACTTCCTTCAGATGAATGTTGACAAGACGGAAACCATACCCTTTGGCTCTCGTCAACATCTAAAATCTCATGGCTCTCACCTCCTCCACCTACCCGACCTCCTCCTAAAACTCTCCGAACCCGTACGCAACCTAGGCGTCAGTTCGACCCCCAATTATCCTTCCTCCCCCACATCCAGTCCCTCACCAGCACCGCTTTCTTCCACCTCCGACGCATCGCCCGTCTCCGCCAATACATCTCCCCAAAAGCTGCTGAAACCCTGGTCCATGCCTTTGTCACCTCTCGGCTGGACTACTCTTAACGCCCTCCTCGCCGGTCTCCCATCCACAATCATCCTTGAAATCCAAATCATTCAAAACTCTGCCGCCCGCATTCTCACCCACACCAAACTCCGCTCCCCGATCACCCCAGTCCTTGCCAGACTGCACTGGCTCCCGATCTCAGAGAGGATCGATTTCAGGATCCTCACCCTTGTATTCAAGTCCCTGCACTCCTCTGCACCCCCCTACCTCTCTGACCTCCTCTCTCCTCAAAACAGTACCCATTGCCTTCGTTCCTCCGGATCTGGCCTCCTCCTCATCCCCTGAATCCTCCGCTCCACCCTCAGCGGCCGTGCCTTCAGCCACTACGCCCCGAGGCTCTGGAACTGCCTTCCTCACTCCCTTCATCTCACTCCCTCCCTTCCCATTTTCAGGTCTCAGCTGAAAACCTTTCTTTTCGACCGCGTCTTTGGTCACCTTCCTCCCCCTCCCCCTGGCTCAGCCCCGGGATCCGTTACTGTAAAGCGCTCTGAGATGCCATCCGGCGTGGAGGGCGCTATATAAATCCAAGTTGTTGTTGTTGGTTAAGGGAATTCTTTCCAATTTCTGAGAATAACTTTGGTTCAGTTTTAATCTGCAGTTATCTAATACATTAAATTGCACAAACAGATATTGCCACTGCATCTCCAGTGGTTCCAGAACCTGCCCTTTAAAGCCTGACTTCCTTGTCTGATCAAAGGAGCTTTCAAGACTGACCAAGCATCCAGCTTTGACAGGA